TGACAGAACATTTCTAAATGTTGCATGTGAACCGTCTGTTTCCAAGAGTTGGTAAAGCATGCAAACATTTAATACGGTTAAAACATGCACCAACAAGCGCGCACATGCAAGCACGCACACACAGACACAATGTGATCCACCTCTGCTTCTCCTGCTGGCTTAGCTGTAATATTAATGTGGAGGCAGGGACTCGGAGGACTGAGTGACAGGGAGATGAAGAGTGTTTGTTAAACAATGGCAAGCGCCTTGTGTGACAGATTAGCCTCACATCTGACGTTGTACATCTTTTCCGTCTTGTTACTTGCTGCTCGCAATTGTCATGTAGTCCTGTAAAAGAAAAGTAATACACTATATCAGGCTAAAGTAGAGTTTTATGAAAATGTATTAGCAGTTAAAAGAACTACATAATTGTATCCTTATTCGAGGTTCATTTAGTGAAGTTTCTATATGTTTTACCCATTTTGAATTTTTTACCAGTCAAGTCTTATTCAATGTAAGGTCTTTATAAGCTTCTGCTGGGGTGGTATTATATTTGTTCTAAAATCCCCGGCTTAATTCCTAAATCCCTCTGTTACAGTGAATCTGGCGTTGTGTGCATAGTCTGGCAAGTATGGCAAATGGAGGAACATTAGAATTTGAAAGTCAAACATTGTTTAGTTTGAGACAAACAGAACTCTGTGATTTACTTTCCTGTCGGGATTAGATCGGCAAACCCTGAGTACACACCTCTGCCCCCGTCTCTCTGTTTGAGGTTGACTTTATGGGGATGAGAGATCTGCTGCACTGAGAGCCAGAGTCCCTTGAGAGCTGGGCTAGAAGAATGAGAGGAGTGGATGAGGTTGGGGAAAGAAGCCAGGGGATCACGTACTATAGGCTACTGCCCTTGACATGAGTGTGTGTGTGTGTGTGTGTGTGTCTGTGTGTATTGGCTCTGATCATTTTCTCCTCATTTTAAACAGCTCAAGTCTCAAAAAGAGACTCTTAACCTTGCAGTGGTATTTGTAGCTTTTAAATTAAGAATGATCTACACACATTCTGACTTTTACACATGAATATTTTCTGATATTGAAAATAGTGTCCATATTGCATAAGCTTGTGTGCCTTAATGACACCCATACTTGAAATGATTGTAGAACTTGATTGCCTTTATAACAGCAACACCCTGCCTGATAAAATCAAAATGGGCTTCAAAAATTAGTTTTTTTTTCCAATTCTCAGCTTTGATTTAATAATTCATCTTTATAGTTGCTTTTAGATCTCTGTACCGGCTCGCCCTTGCCTCCTCTCCTTCCCATTTTAATTTCCTTTTTACATAAAGCTGACTAATGTTCCTCTGACCTTACCCAAAGAAAAACGCTCTCAGTCATCTGCGCAATTGGTTTTGGAGCCAGTGTCATCAGCTTTTTCCTGTCATCTTGTGAAAACAGCAGAATATTCCGCTACCTCTCTGATCTATTCCTACTCTAATTACACAACTGTGATTAAACAAGAAATTAGTGCCAATGACGGACATGCCTGCACAGTTTCCACGGGCCCTCTGTAAGATATTCAGGAAGTTTTTCTCAATATGCTGATATTAACAAGACTTTCTTCACCATCTAAAATATGTATTACTCCCCCTCGCTATGGTTAGCTCTGAGATTAGATTTGGATGGAAATGGACACTTCCTCACCTTACATCTGTTTTCATGCATTAATAAACAGGGATCCTCTGCAGAAGGGATCAGGTTTCAGCCACAGTGACATGAAATAAGACATGCAGGCAGCCAGGTTGGTTGGTACACCGTCAGTCATGTGTTGAACATCACCTTGGTTAAACAAAATGATAAATGTATACCATTAATTACATCTTTATGTATGGCTTATGGCCAAGGCATAATCTAAAAGACTGCAGCATAATAGCAAATAGCTTTTTTCACTATGGCATATTTGAATAAAGCGGAATGAGCTCCTGTTGTGTTTCAGCTCAACAAGCATAAGGTTTTTGCAAGGCAAAGGTTGTAGGTGCTTTGGATTAACTGCTGTTACAAAAAGGAACCCTCCCCCCCTTAAACACACACACACACCACACTCCCATGTTTTATTTTTCTCTGCAAAGAGGCAAATCCAGATTACAGAGCTTCTTTAAGTGAAGGAGATCAGATGAGCTTTAGGAAAGAGGGGGAAGAGGTTTTTTCTTTTTTTTTTTTACTGACAGTCAGATTCATATGGTTAGAATTCAGTAGTAATATAAATGGCCAAAGAAAACACTAACTTTCTATATGTGTTGCATTTAACACTTATCCTTTGACTCTACAAGACAGGGAAATATTGATTATTCAGTGGATCGTTTCTTGAAATGACAAGAAGGCAAAACATTGCAGCTGGATTTTGTTATTCTGTAGTCTCCATGCAATCCCTGCGTTGTAATTTTCAACATCCTCCAGTTAAGATACAGATAGCAGGACTGAGTGATCTCAAATCAAGGAGAGTGGGGCAGTGACAGTGAGCGCCACGAAGGCATCAAGGACATTTCAGAGTGAGTTGGGCAGCAGTTGCGTGGTGGCTCTGCTGCAAGCATGGGGCCTGGAGGATTAGTGTCCAATCAGAGTGGATTTGATGTTTACTGACAGCACATGGGACTTAGCTGAGAGAACTGTATTTCATTTGTATTCATTGAAGCTGTGCTCCTTGCCTGGCCTCCCCTCCCCGTGCTGTGATTCTGGCAAAACTAAAACCTGTTGACGACAGTGCATCATCAACAGCTTCAGGTAGGTGACTCTTTAGGAGAGGGTGAGGGGGTTTGTGGGTGGACTCATAAATCATTGGCATCATCATCATCATCATCACCAGATACGCTTGTATCTGGTTCAGGTGACGTCACAGTGGGAAGTGGAATTAAAGAGGCTTTATTTAGATGTAATCCCTCATAGCAATCGGCAGAGCGAGTAAAATGTCCCAGAGAAGGGAGAGATAAACCCTATTGGATTAGTACAAGCCCCTGCCCATCCCAACCTATAACACAACCTATCCCCTCCTTTCATTTTTTTGGTTCTTTTTTCTGAACGTTCAACTCAAGCATACATCCTGTTACCGTGTCTTCCGTGGAATAACTGTGCTACCTCTGCAGTGTACTGTGTTTGTGTGGTTTGGTGTGATGTTTTTGTGTGTGGTGTCCTCTTTCCTCGCGCACAACAAGCCAGCATGACCAGAGATTAATTATTCAAGGACCGACAGCCAAAGGGGAGTCACCTGATAGTACGGACTTACAATATTACAACCTGATATCAGGTGAAACGGTAGACCCTGCTTCATCTTCTTTTCTGCTTGTTCTGCACCTTCCTCTCTCCGTTCCACAGCTATAGTACATGAAGACTCGGGGAAAAAAACTTTCAAAAACACAGCTACAAGTGGATTTTTTTTTTTAGTTTTGGGTGTTTTCTTTTTCAATCCGTTAAAACTTTTGCTGATTTTTCCTTTTTTGCCAATGCTTGTCACTAACAAACAGTTGAGTCTTGGTCGCTCCCACAGTTGGGACACATTAGGAGGGAATGAGGGTCAGTGGGACAGGGCTGAGAGTGTCTACGAGCAGCAGGCAAGAGTAGCCGGCCGGCGGAGCTCTCTGTCATACGGAGAGGGAGGAGGGTGGTACGAGCCTCCACCAGGAGTGCAGCCCCCTGACCTGGATTTGAAACGCGACCCGTATTCCTACCAAGACTCTCTCTACGGACAGGTTTACGCAGACCGACACGACCCAAGGGGGTTGAGGAAGGGCTCAGTGCCTGATCTAAACCACTACGAACGTGTACCAATGGCTCACCGAGGATCCATTCCGCATCAGGATTACTACTCTCATGACCCGGCTATGACTCCTCGGCCGCCTGAGGGCTTTTACCGGCCAGAACACCAGCCTCCGCCGCCTCACCCTCATCCACTCAGTAGGTCAGGCTCTCATTTCGGGATGGCTCCTGGGGCTCGTAATGTGTGGGATCAAGGTCAGGGAGGGAGAGCAGGAAATCAAGCCCCTGCATCGCCTCTACCTCCTCCTCCCCCTCCTCCAACCGCTCAGGAGTTGAACCGGGCTTACAGGGAACCTGGTGCTGTAACTGCTGCCAAAATGACGCCAGATGGCCAACGCATACCCTCCCGAGACCCATCTCCTGCTCATTATGGTATGGAGCATGCATCTCCTCGGTATGCCAGTGAGCCTCCACCTCTGACCGGTCAGTCTGTCTATACTGATGTTAATGGGCGCCCATTGGATCCACAGCAGCAGGCTGCTACCTGTCTAGTAGTGGATCCAGCCAGTCAAGGTATGATTATGAGGCAAGAGACAGCCTCACCTTTCACCATTCAACAACAACAGCAATTACAACAGCAGCAACAATTGCAACAGCAGCAACTTCAACAGCAACATTTGCAACAGCAACAAATACAACAGCAACAGTTACAGCAACACCAACTACAGCAGCAACAATTACAACAGCAACAGCTTCAACAACAACAGTTACAGCAACAACAACTTCAGCAAGAACAGTTGCAGCAGCATCTGCAACAGCAACAATCCATGCCGCCCCAACCTACCATGCCCATCTCTGACCCTAACTTTTCTATGGCAGCTCCACTTCCCACTCCACCTGCCCCAGTGCAGACCGCAGCAATTTCCCCAGCAGTCCCTGTCCCCATGCAGGCTGCTCTAACTTCAGTTCCTCCTCCCCCTGTCACTTCACTTCCTGCTCCTCTTCCTGCTCCTACCCCCACTGCGCCACAGACGCCTTTGCCTGTGGACCCCAAGAAGAACATTGATCCTGAATTCCTTGCCCTGCTGCGAAATGAGGGCCTCTCAGAGAGCACCATCTCCTCAGTTATCCAGCAGGGATTTGACTCAACTAGCATGCTGGCTGTTATGGAGGAGAACGATGTCCGCACCGTTGCCCCCAACCTTGGCCAGGCTCGTGTACTATTTCGCGTGGTCCACAACTGCAAGCGGCCGGCTGAGGCTCTGCCAGTTCCCTCCCAACCTCAAACACCCATGCGAGGCCGCTCTAATAGCTTTAGTCATCGTTCAGACATCTACTCCCAGCAGCACCACCATCCACAACACCCTCCACAGGCTTTGACCGTGGACCCCCAGTTGATGCCCCCACATTCTCCTGGGGCCATGCAGACCATCTCCCCAAGGATGGGAGAAGTTATGAGTAGGAGGCCCAGCAGCGCCCCCTCTCAGCACCTCCTGGAAGCCTCTGGGGGCTACCCAGGCCAACCACCTCGCTCCCCAGGACCATACGCTGGAGCCATTATGCCTGTTCAATCAAGACCCATGTCAGCCTACTCTTCTGGGATGACAATGCCAGGGATGCCCATGCATGGTATGCAGATAATGCCACAGCAGATGACTGGGTCAATGCCTGCCATAGCAGGGTCTATGCACTCCATGCAAGGTATGCCACAGCAGATGCCCGTGTCCATGCCAGCTTTACCACAGCCACCACAACAGGTACCAAAAGCTTACTCTACAAATTACACAGTGCCCATGGAGCTGATGAAGAGGGACAGGAACTTAATGCCATTGTCACCCATGCATAGCCCTCACCCCAGTCCTCAGCAGATGCGTAAGGGTGGTGGAACTGCACCAGACAATGCCATTGTCCCTATGGGAGCACCAGGCCAAGGCCAAGGTGCCCTGGTTGCTAACCAGAAGCTAAGCCGCCGCACAGGTCCACCAGTCATCGTGTCCACTATGGCGTCTCCAGATACAAGTAAATCCTTTTTTCTCCTTCTGTCCTCACCATTTGCTGTTTCTTGATACATTTGGTCTTGCTTTCTCTTGGCTGTTTCACATGTTTATAATAGATAAGAAAATGGATTTGTGCTGGAGTTCATTTTTTGCATGGTTTATGTAAGACACAATTTCCCATTCCTCTCATTGCTTTGAATAGCTCCACAAAGCAGTGTTGCTGTGGGTTAAGAATCATATCATGTTTTCATAATCTCGCTGACATTCTTAATAACCATTCAGTATATTGAAAGCAACAACTTGGTTGTTTGCTTGGTTCTTTGAAAGATAAAAAGAAACCCACTAATCATTGTGATGAATCATTATTACATGCCTAACTTTGTCTGGAGTTTTGAGATTTTTTTGTATTCTGTTTGTCCATCATTCAGCTGAGTGGTATGTGAGAGCTATTTAGCTGTATGTGGTTACTGGTGTGTGATGCCTGATGCTTGACTGTAGGAAAGTCTGAACACAATGAGAATATTAATAGAGAATTTTTTTTAATCGCTTTATCTTTTTGGTTAGTGTTGTCATATGTTTGCTGTCCCGTGTTTGTTGTCATTACATCAACAATGGAGAAATGTTGTGTCTTTTCTTCTCATCTCGGTGGAGCGAAATCTAAAAGTTGCTGTCTCTCTTTTTTTCCAAAACTGTTGAAAGGATTATGATTAAAACCGTAAAAGGATGACTTTCCATCCCTGTCCTACTTTTGCTTTCTGCATTTGACATGATGCTGAAATGATACTTGCATCCTGCTTTCTTGTCTGCTTATCTCTGTGAGAGCCAGATTTGTCAAAATTCCATATATTTTGTGTGAAGTCCTTTTATTATTTCAGTAATCTCATGCAGTTCTCTTGTCAGAATGACACATTGCCCCATTAAATACAAGACAAAATGGCACTGATGAGGCATAGTATAGAGGATTTGGGAGGAACAGCTGTCAGCACCCTTTCTGATACCTTTTAAATGTTAAGAACTGTGCACTGTCTTCATGTTACAGCCAGTACATTCATGTGTGAACAGTTCACATTAACACTTCTCTGACCAGAAAAGTCAGATACTGTGTGCTGTAGTGTTAACAGTCTGTGAGCATAAGGTGTCCAGGCGAGCATGTGTGTTAGTTTGGAATGATGTGCATCTGTACACAATATGTGCTTGCATTTGCCACAATAATATATTTTTTTCTCATTTAGCTCTTATTGCTTGTATATATGTAATGCCCTTGATAAGTAATTGGAGCTAAAGCGTTTGCCACTTTTTAGAATCATATAATCGGCCTCAATGATACAGCATTTATAAAGTGGGATGATGGTGATTGCAGCATTAGTTGTATGTAGCTCTTTAGCTGCAGTATCATTGTAACTGCAGCTGTTTTTGATGAAGTCCTTTCTGCTCTAACACACACCATCTCCCCACAGCCCTCAAGCCCCTGTTGTTGTAAACATGGATGTCTTATTGCATTATGATAATAAGGGTGCATCAGAGTAGCCTGGAAAGCCTTTACAGCCACTAAGGCTACACAGCCTTCCTTCAGTCCTGCTGTTGTCAAGGTGTACCACAGACCTTCATGAAATAGCAATTAACTTCGTCTAGTTCTTCGTTTAACAGATTTTCTCACAGGGATCAGGCTTTACATTTGCCCTGTAAAAGCTAAGTTTCAGTGGCTGCAAAAAGTGTAATTGAATTTTCATTTGTGTCCCAAATTCATGTTTCGATTCCAGTCGTCCAAAAATGAAATGTACAGGGCGCCCGGATAGCTCACATGGTAGGGCTGGCTACCTGTGTTACCATGGTTGTACCAAGGCTGAGTCCTTGCTGCAGCGACTATGGGTTTGACTCCGATGAGTGGCCCTTTGCTGTGTGTCATCCCCTCTGTCTCCCTCTCTGTCTCCCCTCTTTCGCCTCACTCTAAGGCTGTCACTATCGATTAAAAAAGGCAATAAAAAGCACAATTTAAAAAAAAAAAATGCATCTTTACTGTATAATGACCTGGATCAGTTACCCATATCAGACTAAAGCTTTAATTCATGCATAATAAAAGCTTCTTTTCACACCCATGACCTGATTAAAGTATATTTCAGACATTTTGGGCAATAAGGGCTGATTTCTCCATCAACATCCACTCACCGGAGGCTGACTAGCAGCATCACTGGACAGATAAAATCGAATTACAGTGCTGATGGCCGATGTGTGATTGTGTCATTTTCTCTGTGCAGGTTGTAATAAGAAGAGGGGGGGGGGGCGGGGGGAGGTTAATCCTGGGCGGGGGGGGGGGAGGTTAATCCTTCAGATCCTCCATTTCTACTGCTGCACTAATCCACAGATATTCTCATTCTGCTCAGACCAATCTTCTGGTTTTCTGTTTTCTGTGAGACTCTGTGAAGTACTGTACATAGTCAGTAGGTCGGAATTGACTTTAATGGGGGCCAAAGCCGACTGGAAACAAATGATTTAACTGAGGCTGTGTTGTTGTCATCCCTGGGATTTTTTAGGCCCAAGAGAGCAGATATTGAAAGATCCCAATTGCTTGGCTGTCAAAACAGACTCCTTTTAGCAGCAGACGGACACATGCTTTGGAAAGGATTTCTTCAAGTCTGCCACATACACATATATTGCATTGTTAGTACACACACACAGTCAGCAGAGTAGACCTCATTTGCATGTGGCTGACATTTGTTGCTTTGGTAATTTCATCTGTTAATGGACACAGCCGCAAAGCTGCTCTGAAAGCATATTCCTAAATTGTATGTTGCTAGGCAACGTGGGTTTTGGTAGTAATCGTAGGCAGATTTGCTTCTGGTTAAAGGGTCAGTCCATTGTCAGAGAATGCTGCAAATTTACACGTTACTTCTTGTTTTTACAAATTTGCTGGCTAATCTAATACATCCGGAAAAAGCATTAATTAATCACATTCAGGCTTTTATTGCCTTTTTTAAAAGAAGGACATTATATGCATTTTAGACCCAACAAAACAGGATTCAGCCTTCCAGTTAAAATTTCATATTGATATTTGTCAGGTAGACAAATGATATTGTAATATCAGCAGTAACACATTTTGCATTCCTTAAAATCCAATTAGTTACGATCTTATGATATTCTGACAACCTCAGACAATCCGTTAGATACAGCAGTGAGTTTCACCCACGATCAGAATTTTTATTCTCTCTTAATAGCCGAAACACAGATGGTATGCCCCCGCTCACCTCAGTATATGAAAGACCCTTTAGCAAGACCCCGCCTTTATATGACTGACTAGTACTCCCATCCCCCACACCGGCATAATCACGTAGATGTTACTGTGGAACTTCCACTCTTGTACTTCCACCCTGCGGAGTGTGTCGGCTCCTGTGCGTGGACTCTGGCCAGGCGACCTGATGCCAGCTCAGGTCAGTTCTGCTCTGCGTGACATAGTAGCCGCAATTTTCTTCCTCGCTTAGGCCTTGCGTGATGATGGGGGAGGGGTTATGGCATATTAGTTCTGGAGATAGGAGATTATGTATTAAAGGGGGCCAGGTCAAAGTTACAGGCAGTTGTTGCACGGAGTGAGGGATTAAGGAAGCGAGAGAGGGAAAGAGATGTAGTCCTGCTACTGATGGATGATGAATGCTATTTGCTGGGTGGGGGAGGGGAAACTGGGCGTTGACAGCTGTCAGTCAACCTTGGACTGTCCATGGAGATGAGGAGTGCTGTCAGTGTTGCATACTAGACTTTGAGGGTCAAACTTTGGCCTTAATCTGGGCTGACAGTCAAAGGTTGTTTTTGTTATGCTGCTGGTCACTCTGTTCGCCGCACATAGTGATAGATATTTTCTCCTCCTGACGTGAGAGGATGGCTTACCAGTGCCACAACCTTGAGTAAAGCAGCCATTGGATTAAACTGAAAGGGATAGACACAGACATTATTATAATTGTGCCTTTGAACATCTAAAGCCTCTGCTGTTTCAGTTAGTGAAATTCAGTTTTATTCACCTTGCTGGGAGCTGTTAATTTTCTGCATAGACAATAATAAGTGACTGGCAGTTGGAGTAGTTTCAAGGCTTGGATGACTATGAAACTCTTTTGATTGAATCATTAGTACAAACGATGAGCAACTGTGTTAGAACATACCTGGTTGTTTGATAAAAAGCACAAGCTTACGTTCATAAAAATGAAAGGAGAGGTGTTAACTATGATGCCTTAAAGAGTAATTAGGTAAGAAACATCCAGTCACTGAGCTAAAGAATTACAGTTTTTAGAAACCTCATATGCATGCCATTCTGCCATTTAGCAGTTTAAATCAACTCATTTTGGATTCTGGGACAATTTGGGATGAACTGAGCAACCATGGTGTGGGATTTTGTTCACAATTGTAATGAGAAAACATCTTTAATTTGCAACAGCTATGATTGGTGCCTCCGACTAGCTCCTACTCTATAGCAATTGGGGCCATGGCTCATGGGTATTGTAGTATTTAGAGCCATCCGCCTGACCAAATTTGTGGTAAAGGCACGATTTCTCAAAAACAAAGTTGAAATAATTGAAGCTGATGGGTAATGTAGACCTTTCATTTAATTATCCAGGAGACTCGTGTTTTTCTGTGTTGAGGAATATCATTACCAGATAACAGTTCTGTGCACCCTGTATGCAGGATGATGTGTGCGGTGTTTGTATGTGTGTACACATGTGCATCTGTTGTGTCACACCAGATGTTCCTCTTAATATCAGGCAGTGATTTCCCTTTCCCCTCGTGAGTGTGTAAAGTCTCTGGTTTCTCTCTCACACACTGCCAGGAGTAGATCTATAAAAAATCTTCACTACTCATTTTCTCTTCATCTCTTTCTCTTGTTCTTTGTATAAATTGATCACAGTTTGTCTTTGCCTCTCCCTCCCTACCTTTTGTAGAAAATTAATCTCAGTAGGAATTGATTTGGCTATGACACCCTCCTAATTCAAAGTGTGGGGGAGAAAAAGAGATCGAGGTAATGGGAGAAATATGTCTCTAAACAAACGTCATACCAAGCTCAGCACATTCATTCATGACTGTGGTTGTGGGTTACAGAGCCCGTCGGCAGGAAAATGAGGGAAATGAGGAAAGATGGGAGGTGATTGAACCCGACCGAAGATGGCAGAACAGAGGAGAAGATTGAGCAAGAAAGACTAAGGAATGGAGTTAAATACACACAGGGCTGTTTTAGATTAGATAGTGAGAGACTGCCTGCTGTAGAGGCAGTGATAGAAGTCTTAAAAAAGGGTGGAGGAGTGAAAACGGGAGATTACATAAATTAAAGCTCTGTCATGCCAACTTGGAGCAAGTGAAGGGAGGGTAGGGTAGCAGGAGGACATCTCAAGTCCATTTTTTTTTGTTTTGTTGTGTTTTTATTATAAGAAAAACCTTAATCATCAGAGTCATGCCCATTTTTTGATATATAAAAAAACCTCCATATTGCCTCTAAGAGTGAACGACCTGCCGGATTTGCTGCTTCTATTTTTCTGCTCGTCTGTTTGTTTGCCATCACATTGTGTACAGAATACAGATAAAATGCTGCACAGGTGCCGTGCCGTGAAAGAAAAACTGAAAAGGCCAAGTCTGACCATGGACGCAAAAAGCTCTTTCTGGCCAGGTTGCTGCATCCTTTCAGAGAGACTTGAAGTGATTAACTGCTGGTTGGGAGAGCAGAGGCGAAAGAAGGACAGACAGAAGAGGTCACTCACTCAAACATTTGTAGCTAAAAAGAAAAAGGAAAAAAAACGATAATAAAGAAAAAGCAATAAAAATCCTCTCCTCGCCTCTCGTTTTCTTTCCCCTTACCTTCTGTTCCCCTCTGTAGTGGCTATCTTTGGTCTATATTATTTGTCTTTCTTTCCATAACCACATTATAATGACAACATCAGACTCTCTTACGCGTTAAGTTAGTGGCAACGGTAAAACAACTGTGTCGCTCGTTTATTTACTTCTGAACATCTCACGATAAAATTCCACTTCCTTTTCATTTGTCACTCCAGAAGCCGTACAGGACGACTGAAGAAAACGTCTGTGGTAAAATATAAATGAATTAAGTCGCACCAAATGTTCAACAATATTTCCTCAAATTACACTACCAACAATAAACAAACTTAAAGAGACGTAAAGGGCACTTAAACTGTTCTTTCCTCTCCTGTCATCTCCGCTTTCCTCTTCTTCCTTCTCCTTTCCTTTCTTTCCTTTCCTTTCTTCTTCTTATTAATTTGGAAGTCGTGTGTGAAACAACCCTCAGCCTGACTCAGCCCCAATGGACCGACACTGTGTGAGATCATCAGTCTGCATACGTTACTATAGATACTGTACGACGTCAGACAGCTCAATCCACATTTTCACTCTTCATTTCTTCTAAAACTCATGTTGACCGCTCGCCAAACCCACACGAGTCACGCTGACGACACGCTGCTTCTCTCCTCTGCTCTTTCAGATGACTCGCCGGTGGCTCGGACGTCTGTGACTTCGACAGGAGATGAGGCCGGATGAGTTCGTCCCACTTGCCGCTAACGATACCGACGCGGACGACAAACTGTGGTGAATCATGTCCGTTGCTTTTTGCTCGCTGTAAATGACGATTTAGCTTGTTTTGGATGGCTTTCCGTTAGATAACAGGTGCCGACGATGTCGCTGGGCGAGCAGTCTCAGAAGTGGTTTCCAACCCACGTCCAGGCCACTGTTCTTCAAGCAGCCGGTTTACAGCCCAAGGGCAAACACGGCACCAACGATGCCTACACCATCATCCAGCTGGGCAAAGAAAAGTACTCGACGTCAGTGGCGGAGAAGACTCTTAACCCCGTGTGGAGGGAAGAAGCCTCCTTTGAATTACCTGGTTTACTTGTGGAGGGCAACCCGGAGGTGTACGAGCTCTGCCTCGTGGTGATGCACCGGTCCTTGGTGGGGATGGACAAGTTCCTGGGCCAGAGGTTCGTCAACCTCAACGAGATCTTTGACAACAAGGAGCGAAAGAAAACCGAGTGAGTATCGTAGAGAGTCGCAGAGAAGATGTTCGTTTGTGTTCTGTTTTGTTTACATGTTGTGTTAATGTGTCTCCTGTTGGATTGTCAGGGCAGCAGAGAGTCGGTGAAAGAGCTGAGTTAAATGTGCAACTAGCTTTTTAATCATCCATACAGGCATTGTACACCTGAATTTCCCTCGGGATAAATAAAGTATCTATCTGTCTGTCTGTCTGTCTATCTATTTATCTCTCTATCTCTCTATCTGTCTGTCTATCTATCTATCTATCTATCTATCTATCTATCTATCTCTCTTTCTATCTCTCTGTCTGTCTATCTATCTATCTATCTATCTGTCTCTCTATCTATCTTTCTATCTATCTATCTATCTATCTATCTATCTCTCTATCTCTCTCTCTATCTCTCTG